ATATATATATATATATATATATATATATATATATATATATATATGTATGTATATAAATGTAAAATAGTAAATTGTTTTTATAAATACATTTTTAAAGTAATAAATAAAAATATTATACAATATAATAAATATGACAATTGGTAAATATGCACATACTAAATAATACATAATATTTAAAGTCACTTTTATTCTGCAGGAATCTTTAACATTTATTTGGTTGATATTTAAGAATCTTTATAAAATAATCTAGAAAATAATAAAGTGTCTGAAAGCACAAGGATTCATCTTAAAGTATAATATAATTTAAAATATTATGCATTATGTTATATCAAAAAATACTATGGATTAGCAACACACTGTAAATTGAAAAAAAATCATAGTACAAAAAAATAACATTTATTTTTTAGTATTTGTAATTGTCATCTTTCTTGTTATGAGCTGTGATAATGTATAAATAAGTATCAAACAAATTTCATGATATAAAAATTATTTCCCATGCAAATATGAAATACATTTATTTATTTATTTGTGCTGTAAACAACAATAAATATTAAAGACATGTAAACTGTTTAAATAAATACAAATATTACAATTTAAAATACCATGGCATACATGCAATACAAAAACAAACAAATGTGTAAAATATATATTAAACCATACAAGATTTTAAATATAATGTAATATAAAAATTTAATATAAAATTGTAATATAAAATAAATTATATGATGTAAAATAACATTTATTATTATTATTATTTAAAAAATAATTATTTGTATTTATGACTAACACATAACATTATTAAAATAGATCTTTTTCTTCTTCTGCAGTCACCTTTAGAAGGGTTTTTAATGATCCTGTTATACATGCTCCCACTCGGATGCTAATTTTAGCATTTACTCACATAATCACCATTTATAATTCATAACAGAAGCTCTTCACGGCTACAGAACTGTAACTGGAAGCAAACACACTCAAATATACGGCTTCATTTGTCATCTGTCAAAAGACACACACACTCAGAAACCAGTTCTGCCAGTTCCCTGACGCCGCTACTTCAGGAGAAATGCATCACTATTAAACCCCCTACGAGCATTCATAACCCGCTATTATCACACTGAATAATCCATATCAGCTTTAATGGATTTACACTATGAAGGGAGCACAGCGTGACGCCCCCCAAACGATCTTTAACTCCATCAAAAAGGATTACGCATGTGTTTAAATCAGTCAAGACTAAACCAGCGTCACACACTAGTTAGTCAGCATGATCAAACACCCTACAGATATGAACTAGGTAGAAAGCACATGAAATTCGAATGCCTATAAATGATGTCTAGGTGAACAGACCACTAGATAGGGAGCTCAACAGACTTTGAAAGTACAGTGCTGTATATAAAGTTTACACTACACTAATAGTGTGCTACAAAGGTAATCGGTTGGCTAGATTTTGATATGAAGTTCAGAAATGATGCCTAGATAGAGTTCACTAGCTTTTAAAAACACTAATGCTCAAAGTCTGCATTTTTTATAATGTACAGAAGTTCAGTTCACTAATATTTTGATATGAATTCAGAATATGTTGACTAGTAATGACTTCTAGATAGAAAGCACACTTATTATAAGAGTATATGCTGTAAATGTGAACAGTCAAACAGATTTGGAGATCAAGAAGTCCAAAAATGACACCAGCACACTATCCAGGCAGCTTTTTTGCTGAGCTGCTTCATCCCAATGTTGGGTCAAATAGGGGTTAATTACAATACAATATAAATTAGGTGTTTTACCCCAATAGTCGGGTTTTGTCATATCTAACAAACAACACAACATGTCAGTATGTGCATGACACCTATAAATGCACACTTGCAAGAAAACTCAACTAAATTAGATGCATTGAAGTCCAAAAATGACCTCTAGACAAGCAGCTCAATATATATTAAAAGTATGCCATCCAAAAAAGGGGCTTAAAAACTATAATAAAAAGTCTAGATGGAAAGTTTAGTAAGCTACAATTGTTTATAGACAGAAGACAACCTCAATATACAAGCAGCTTTCTCATGCCTGAAGAGCACTCTAGGTAGACAACGACAACAGAAATGGACTCCATGTACAAAAAAGGGCACATGTCCTATAATTATACAGACCACTGGATTCAGACATTACTGCATACATTAATTATGTCTCGGCAGCTAAAATGCCCAAAATGTGCACTTGTCACTGTACTGCTGGGTTATTTATCTTCAACCCAATTTTGGGCAAAATATTCACAAAACCAACTGCTGGGCTTAGTTTTTTTTTAATACAAAAAGTTATGTTTAAGATTATCCTTAATGAATTTGGGTTGAAACAACCCCGCATTTTTTGGAGTGTATAGATTTACACATAAAATAGATTGCTGGGTTGTTGTAAGCAAATTTAGGGTCAAATATGGACAACCACTGGGTTAAAAAGTGTCAGTTAAATTTAATTTAA